AGGTTCTGGTAGCAGCACCTGGTACCATGACAGCCTTGGGAAGGGGACAGCCACCAAGCCCTGTGCCAGCTCAGCTTCAGAACACCTCTTCCCAACCTGTCTGATGTCACTGTCACAGTCCTTGGGTTGTTTCAGCTTGCCTTTCCCTCCCCTCACGTGTGAAGGCATCACGACGGCTGTCTGAGTCCTGCAGTTAAATATGGGTGCACGGGTCCATAATGGTACATTGTAAGAGAATGTCTCAGGGTAGGCAGCAATAATAATTAGCTGTCAAGATTTGAAAAAAGGATAATCCATGCCATTGAGTTAACAGTCACTCACACAACACACATGGATTTAACTAATCTTAATTTGGAGAAAAATAACAATTCTAAATATATCAAATAGCCCATTTCATGGCAACCTGCAGCGGTGTTTATCTCTGGCTTCCAGCACATGCGAGTTATTTAGTTTGTCTCACTGGCAGTTTTACCATTCAAAAGCCTGAAATGAACATTCATGGAGCAGGGGTTGCAGTTAAATCCTGCCTCTGACAGGGAGCCTTTTTTCATGATGCACATGTAGTACAATGTATGGAGCCCAGCACTGGTGGCCGTGACAGGATGAATGAGGAATTCCAATCAACCCTTTCCTAGCACTATCTTTGCAAAAATTAGCTCACCATCTTAGTGAACCTCTGCTGCTGCTGTAGTTATATGTTTGTGAAGGTCTGCTGGCCTGAAGGTGCAGACCTGCCAGTGAATCTGGAGGTCTGGTCCAAGTGGTGCCTGCTCCACAGAAGCTCCCTCCTCTTTGCTGGGCTTCTGTGAAATCACTCAGCATTAAAATCAAGCTGATTGGTACTTTTTTTTTTTTTTTTAACTTGGGTACTTTCAGATAATCCTGCTAGCAAACAGACCACAGGGCCATGGGGAAGAGATGAGATACCATCAGTGAAACGACAGTGGGGGCACCTTTCCAGGTCATTCTTCAGCCAGGACAGGTCACCTGGTTATGCCCAAGATCTGATAAATATGAAAGATAAAAAGGGGTATAAAATACAGCAGTGGTCTATTTTTTTCCAAAATACCTGCCAGCAGTGAAATAAAAGAAGCAGTGACCAATAACTGCTTGCCAACTCATTGGCCTGGTTATGTTTTGCTGTGCAACAATCTGGTACATCTCTTCGATACTATCACACCCTCTATACAAGAGGCAAAACTGATTTTCAAACAGGTCAGCCAATTTGAAAAACAGAAAAAAAAAACCTTTACAGGGCAGACTGCTCCTAAGCAAGTCACATCCTTCCAGTGCCAGCTAACATGCTACCACAGATCTTACGGACGGTGGTAACTAAATGAAAACACCTTGAAAACTTGGATTTGCAAGTTACCAGTCAGGGAAAGATGACAGATTTCATTATCAGAAGATCTTTAAAAGCTGATTGCAGAGACAAAGTTGCCTTTGTTTCCACTGGAATATAGAAATGTCTGTCAGAGATTTGTGCTACATGCATAAAAATTCTCGTGGGCTCCTGAGTTCTGCCTCAACGCGTCCCTCAAAGCAGCAGAAGGTCTGTTGTGTGGTCAAGAGGTATTCAGTGACTGGGGCAAGAAGAGCTACCAAGAAAGTAAAAAAAAGAGAGGAATAAAGACCTCAGACACCCTGTGCCAGGATGAATACTCAGCGCAGTTTCTGTATCCCAATATCCTTCACACCCAGAGCTACGAGAGGGACAATGGCAGCACTTGACGTACCCTCAGAGCATTCAGCCATGGGGAGCTGTAAGGTCTGGTGGCTTAGTCACACCACAGAAGGCTTTATAAATCATTCTGACCAAATAAGAAGGTCTGCAAAAGTAACACAAGATCAAGGAGAGAAGCTGAAACCTCTTCGAGGACAGCAGTGGTGGCAGCATATTTCAGGGAGCCGGAGTGGCGAGTGGGTGATTTCTGGTTTCCCTCTTCAAATATAAAGACTCAATTATCTTTGAACAGCTTGCTTTACACATGAATTGACACATTTATTTTACAATAAATAACTGAAAGTTATCTATGTTTCCTTTACTGTTAATCTACACAAAGAAATAATAAACAGAGCTTGTCTACAAAAATGCAACTACTGCAGTCCTCAGAATTCAATTAAGCTAAAATAATTAATGCTTCCACCATATTAAATTACTTTATACATTTGAGCCACTGAAGTTTTTTTTTTATTCTTTAATCTTTTTCGCCTTTTTATTTAATAAAAAAAAAGTTAGTTTCAAAGGGGGGGGCTGGCTAGGAGGGGAAAAAAGAACATGATTTGCTGTTAAAATGTAATGGTCTCCTTTAGCTGACACAGCATGTAGAGTGTTTTGTGCCTTTGATTAAAATAACATTTTAAATGCTTTGAACAAACATATCTCCCCATACTTCTAAGGGATTATTTTACATATTTCTTGGTGGAATAAAGAAATTCATTCTTCCTGTTGCAGTACAGAAAGGCTAAGAATATCTTTCGTCACATATAAAGTAAAAATACTGTAGGCTGTTGCATTATTACAAAAAAAATAAAAAAATAAAGGGAGGGGGTGGCAGGGTAGGAGAAAGCTGCCTTAGAGATTAAGTTTCCCTTTTATGAAATCGTATTTAGTCTCTTTTTTTAACAAATCTAACAACAATGCTCTACAGCCGCTCACTGGGAAATACCTTTAATGTTAAATGCAGATTCTGATTTTCTTGGCTAATGCAGAAAGCCTTTCTATTGAAATATAAATAAGGGGTTTGGTATATCCCACTAAAGCCTTTCCAGTGAATGACTTCTGTGGGTTTTTCATGGCTACCCTCCATGGCTGTAATGTGAGGCTTTTATCCTACTATTGAAAACTATCCGCTGCTAGTAAAAAAAAATATGGAAGGACACTGCACCTTTTTATCTCAGAGCTGTGCTCCTAATTGAGAAAGTATTATTACAGCACTGTTTAGTGGATGTCCCTATCTCCATGCACTGCTGAGAAAATGCCAATCAAATGATAAACCCTTTTATTTTTCTCAATTCAAAATCTTTCCTACATATTTTTCATTTGATATTCAGTTTAGTCTGAAAGAGATTAGGTGCTCCAGATTGGCTTTTAATTTTTTTTATGCCTTTTCCACATGTGAACATCTCCTTCATGACCTCCTATCCCAGCAGATTTTCTGAATGGCACAAGCTTTGGTTATGTTTTTGCTGACCCCCGGAAGCTGGGATGGGACAGCACCTGCTGCTCTGGGAGTAACCACTGAGGTACTATGGACTGAACTTGGGCAAAGATAAGTAAGAGATGAGCTCTGGACTGCAACTGCAGCAGAGCTCTCCTAAACCAGCCTTACTAAGCACTGCACACCCTCCACAAGGGGCTGAGTGCCATCAGCTTGCACAGAGATCACCAGCTGTTAGGAGTGCTCAGCACCACTCAGGCAGCCTTCAGCAGACTAGGGAAGGTCCTAAATACTTCCCTTCTGCTCCTACCAAATGGAAAGGAAATCTAGCCCTCAAATCTGCTACGCCATGATGTAGTCATATCTACCAAGAAACGTATTCACAACTGCAAAAGGATGAGGAAAGCTGAAAAAGGATGAGGAAAAGATGGGGTCAGGTCTTACAGTAGGTTTGTTTCCAATGCTACAGCACAGGCCTGCCACAGCTAATGCTCCTAGCGCTACCCCATGTCAGGGTGATGGCTGCACCCAAAAAAATACTCTCAGAAGAGAACAGTGTAGTCAATAATCGTTGTATGCCCTGTTGTAAAAGACAGGAGGACTGAAGACTGCAGCATTTTAAAGCCCACATCCTCACTGATGTGATGCCCAAGCCTGTCAGAGATGCTGGGAACTGGCTCAGACACCTCCAACACTAAAGGCAGAAATCTCTTAAGCTTCAGTTGTAAGGATAGGAGCTGCTCACCTGCCTTCTGGGGATCCCCTCATGGGAGCATCTCTACCACAGCTAGGATCCTGGACTGTCAGATCTAATCCCATAGGACAATTCCTAGATAAATCGGAATAGTGGCAGCAAAGGCAGATTGTCACTGGTCTTCTGTATGGGATACAGTCAGTTTGAACAAAAAAGGCCTTTTTGAGGGGAGATCCTGCTGTGTAACATAAAACCCCCACTCACTAGCAGGGAGGAGAGTCATCCTTTCACCACTGCAGAGGGGAAAAACACCCTGCTTGATGGAAGCAACCCCATGCCAGGCACTCTGCAGGAACCACTGCGTACCACCTCACCTAGGTGGATAATCATCACCTCCCTGCCCGCGTCTGAGCGGGGGAGGTCCACTGAATGAATGTTAACTTCACCACATGTGAAAGTTTTAGAAAAAGAAATGCCTGCAATTTGCTCACCCAGGCCAGCCTGTGCTCTTGTGTCCTTATTCAGAAGGTCTCTTTGGGGTGTGCATGAGAGTGGAGGTGTTACCCACCCAACCCAAGCCATTTAAGGACACCCAGAACAGGCAGCACAGGCAACAGTGCAGGCCAGGAAGCTGACATCTACCCCAGGGAATGAAAAATGAAGGATTTAATGAAACCCTGCTTTAGCCCTCACAAAAAAAAGTCTTCTTCCCACTACCAGTCAGTGGGAAGAGGATTTTTCCTAGGATGCAGCCCTTCCCAGTGAGTCTGCATGTGACAAAGGGTATGGGGAACAGGACTGAACTGGGCACCTCACCAAAATACCTTATCCCTCTGCCACTGCTACTTGCTTAAGGATGCTCCTGAAATGTTTTCTGACCCAAATTGTCTGTTTTTTCCCAGATGTACAGACTGCCCCTTAGCTCTCCCAGCTTCCTGAGAGGCCCCTTTCTCCAGCAGCTGGCCCTGCACAGATAGCTACAAAGAATTAAACAGGAGATGGACAGCCCTGCAGAGCCGTGAGAATCCTCCAGATGGATGGCTCCTATAAAGACGTGTTGCTGAAGCCTGTTTCATGGCACTTTCTAGAGGACTCTAGTTAAAAGATTACCTAGGCAAGTTGATTGAGTGTAAAACGTGCTGTACCTGCAATGTTCTCCTGCTTGGGGCAAATTCCTTTTGTAGGCGTGAGAAGACGGTCTTCTTCATCGGGTGTGACTTGGATCCCGATTTCCACTGGCTCTGACACTTTCCTGAGCTCGGCGCGTGAGGAGGGGGGAGGGCTGCTCTTATCCATGCTCTTTTCATAGCAGACACCACCAGTGCCATTGCACTGTTTTCTCTTGTGCTCTATAAAAACCAAGATGTCTCCCAGTGGGAAGTTCATCTGACACTGTCCGCAGGTTAACAAGTCGGGGTCTGTCCCGCCTGCGGCGATGCTGATGCCGCCTGGGTCTGCTATTGCCAGGCCCTCGTCCTCGTCGGCCAGTGCCGGTTCCACATGGTCAGCCTCTGCTTTGCATGGACAAGGAGAAAGGGAGGAAAGGGACAAGGGGAAAAGAGAAAGAGATTGCTTTGAGCGTTCACAGACTCGGAAGGATGCATCACCAGAGGCCCAGCCTCCCCCCACCCCCCTCAAAGGAGCCAAGCCTGATTAGATCTTTCTTTTATTTTTCAGCTTTTCCGCTCTCCCAGAATGATTTCAATATATTTTGCAACCAAGCCTGCCTGAAACAAAATGGAAAGGCTGACCTGGCATAGCTTTCTTGACAGCTCCTTCCCACTGCTGCCAGCACTACAAGGATATCAGCAAAGAGCCATTTTGCAAGCGTTCGAGCCCCGAGTCACATTCTGAAATAGTTCCTCTCTTTTTATCCCACCTTCTCATTCCCTCCGCGTCTCCCAGCCATCTGGCCAAGGCCCCATCCAGCAAAGCTTGTGCACCCAAGTCTTTCCTTCTTTTTCAGGGAGAGAGTGAAAGCTTTTATGCACCAAGCTAGCAGGACTGGGCTCCCCGTGACATACAAAATTAGTACCACCTTGTCCCATTACAGAGTTGCCGGCAAGATTAAATGACCACCCATTAGCAGAAATTACAAAAAACTGCTTGCAAGACTAACATAAGCAGACTATGGTCTCATGAGCAGTTAAGGCATTTCAAAATTGTGTACAGTAGGAAAGGGAATGAAGCACTTATTTAACATACTGGAATATTGGCTGAGTTTGAAATATTCCACTCTATTTTTCCAATGCCAAAAACCCTGTCATTGCTATATAGGCTAATAAAAGTTTTTTTGTTTAAATCTTGTCCACAGACGTGTTGAATTTCCTACCTTTACCCCCAAAGACTGGGAACGAATTTCTGGTTGACCTGAATAAGTTTCTAGAAAATATGCAACTTCTCATTTCACAATTAATAAAACACAATATGTTTTAAATCAGTATTTAGAAGATAATTTTTACACTATTAAATAATTGTGGATGACAATCCATTTCTGGGCAAAACATGGTTTTATGTTTGTTTTCTCTTGTTCTGACATGTAACTGCCAAATCATACAAACCTTGGACTTTACTTAGGCAAAATTTCCACTGTCTTTTGCCTAAGGCTGGTTTGCCTCTGCAAGGACTATAGGATTTAGGCTGAACAAAACAGAGGAACTAACAGTATGTAAATCAGTGACTGAGACCTCTAATCGAATCAGGATTAAAGGAATAGGAGGAAAAATGTTCTCTATTAGTTTCCTCCTGGATTTCCTGGGGAAAGTAAGTAACACAAATATCTCAAAGAAGTAGGACTGTGATAGACAGATGTTATGATTCAGACCTGGACGCTTCTCCATTCTGAAAACAAAAGGATTTTTGTCGCACCCACAGCAATTGCAAAAAAAACCCATAAAAATAAAACAAGAAACACATAGAAAAGGGGCACGAGGTAGAAGGTGGAATGCATTGCCTGGCAACAAAAATGGTTAAGCCTCGAAAAAAGGTAGTTTAGAAAAAGAATCACTCCCATTTTTGCCTTCCAGAATAAATAACTGATCAGCAGATCTACCAGCTGTATTACAAGTTGCATCAGAGCTCTCTAAAAGCAAAGCAGAGAGCGGCGGCAGCAGCGACAGCAACAGCAGAAAAGGACAGGGACCCCAGAGAAATGCCCAGGCATGGACCATCCTGCTGGAGCCAACGATGGGCACGAGAAGGCTTATGCTTCCCAACTCACTCATTCTGAAAATCATTAATTACCGTTTTCCTCTTAATCTAGGTTTAAAAGGAGTTTGAAGACAATACTAAGCAATTAATTCAGCAATTTATATCATGAAAAGATGTCTCCTTGCCATAGTGAAATGTGACTATAACCCTGTGCTGAAAAGACACTGCAGGGAAGGCAGCGGATACCCGCAAACAGTGTGTCACGATGCAAAAGGTAATTATTTAGTGTTGCAGCTCCCCTTAATGATCTAACATTCAGCAATATTGTTTATATTGAAGAGAGCTTGCACCTTTAATTACCAATTATATATACATCATTTTAGAGCCAAAAGAAAAGGACTGTGAAAAGGGTCTTTTAGAAACTTGCACGCAATTTGTAGCCAGAATTCCTATTAAGGGGGAAGAGTGTGTCAAAATATTTAAAAAAACTGTACAGAGAGGCACACACAGGCACGAAGATACACAAGTGGGAGATGGGACAAAGAGCTGGAAAAGACAACACGAAAACAAGCACTGAACCAAGGGTCGTAAGAATAAAAGATGGCACGAGGGAAAAATGCTTGTTACTAGTTTCACGAACATTCCTGCAAAGCCTTTTGATTAAAGTCTGTGTCTTAAATTACAAAGGCTGCATTTTGGCATTTATATATATGTAACAAATATAAAGAAGAGCACAGATCTCAACTTTATTATCTTTTTGATGTGAGGATTTATATTTTTTTTGCCTGTGATTTCGACTGTGCTCTTCAGAAAACATAGCAAAATTGCTGCGATTGATAAGGGTCCTGACCAGGCATCTGTGGAAACATGAAGGAGGTTTGAACAGCTAAACTGTTACGAATTCTTTCTTTTCAGTTCTGCACTTCATTTGAATATTAGTTAAATCCACATATGCCTATTCGCTTACACTCGATCACTCTCTCTTTCCAAGGACTCTGCAATGGCACTTTTTTAAAATAACATCTGGTATTCCTTCATATTTTGGCAGTCGTCACATCACCAAAAATCAGCTTTTCGTTTTCTTGGTACGCCGAGCCCTCGTGATCAGTAGTAATTTGGTTTCAAACTATTAAAAGATTTTTTTTTACTCAACTCTATTTCTGATTTGAGCTTAATAAATCATCAATCATGAGACCAGCTATTCACCCAACAATGCAAAAGCAATATTACATCCCCTTATTCACAACATGGAAAACAGACATAAAAGAATGAAAAACAAAATACTGAATAGATCTTCAAATGCATTTTATCCATGTCAATTTGCATTTATTTATTTTTACTCAGAATAAAAAAAAAAAAAACACAAGAAAGAAAAGGCTTCCTATTGACAACTCAATTAAGCCATTAAAAACCTACATTCAAGTAACATTACAGGAGAGATTTAAAACCCACAAAGGGAAAAAGAAAAAAGCCTGCAAGTCCAGCCCATAACGCATTGGGTCATGCCTGGTTAATACAACAGCCAAGATCTTAGGCTGTTTAAGGAGCCCTTTAATACCAGTGGGGCAATTTAGGCCAGTCTCAATCTAAAGTTCTGACTCTGCTTGTGTCTGTGGGTTTAAAATGAGTCGCTTCACATTATTTGAATTTAACTCTGTGGTTTTATTGCTATTGTTGGTAGATGGGTTTAGAGGTAAGAAGGTATTTCTTCACAAGTATTTATTTTAAATTAATTTATATTTTTAAGAAGAAGAAATTAGGCCACACAAAATAGGAGAAGGGAAAACATCTCATGTCGCTTACATGGGAAAAGTAAAAAAAAAAAGCAAATTAGTTATTTCCAGCCAGGACTCGTGCCCTGGTTCTTTCAGGCGTGTTAAGGTGTGCCCAGTATTTTCCCTATATCCAGAGATTCCTACACAGAGGATTGCTTTGGCATTGCCTGTCTAGGGAGCACAGTGAGTTGGCAATGGGCGATCTTTGGGGACATGAGTGACACAGTTGTTATAGGATGGCTTTGTGAAATTAAGGCAACCGGACAATCTAAATTATTTGCTTTACTCAAAAAAAAGCATTACACTTGCTGACTGGACTCTAAGCAGCATCTCCAAGGTCTCTGGCTGTCAACCACACCAAAATACAGTGGACAAACCCCTTAATTGCATTAAGACACTGTCACAAAGCCACCAGCACTCCTACTCCAGTGTGGTGACATCATTAGAGCATATGTGCCCCATGCAAACAATGCTCTCATGCCCAGTAATAAAGTGAATGCAAATGCTAACTACTTTCTGCCTGTCAGTTGTCTCAAAATCTTACCCACTAATAGTGGAAAAGACTGCTTTGCTAAAAGTCATTTCCAAAGCTTTAAAGGACAGATGCTTGTTCACAGAGTTTGGGTGAGGCCGGGTCCAGACAGCAATCATTTATTTTCTTGTCTTTTCATTGCTCTGCAGAACCAGGGTAAAAAAGGATCTAGAAGTTGCCAACCTATTCTTTGCCTTATTTTTCTTGTTCTACAGTATCAAAATGAGTCAAAGGGGGCAGAGGAAATGTTTTGGTGTTGGGCCAAAGTGTTGTGTGTGAAACTTCCCCCCCGTGGCTACTCTCTGCACAAATCAATAACGGGGTGGTGACAGTGGCTTCACTGCAGAGGTGCTGCCGAGTGCCCTGCCTGCCCTGGCACCCTGCCACAGCCTCTGCCCACCCTTGTGTCCACCTGGGAGACAAGGCACAGGCTACTCCAGAGGCTACCCTTTTCTGGGATAAGCTAGGGGAGCCCAGAGTCCACCATGGGGACACAGTTCCTGGTGGCCAGGTACGGGATACTGCCTAGCAATGTGCTGCAGCACGTCAAGTGCACTGTTCTCCTCACAGTCACTGCTGTCTTGAAGGCACAGGCAGAGACAGCTCAGCCTAGTTGAGGAGTGAGCACAAAGGACTGACTTGCTCTTCAGGGTGTTGGCCCAAAGCAGGCCTGAAAATTATGTCCCTTCAATCAACACCCACATGTCACTTTTACTGCAACATCAACATGCTTAACGGAAAGTAGCTCGAATCGCACGCTCTCTGGCTGGGTTATCACCGAGATCGGTGTCAGGATCCTTGCTGCACAAAGACTAACGCTGCTCAAAGCGGGCAACGCGGCTCTTCGCCGTCGAAGTTTATCAATAACCGGCTTCCAGAGCATCCCAGCAGCTCCCTGTGGCCACAAGGTGCAGAGCTGAGATTAAGCCTACATATTGCACCAGCATCACACTCAGCGGTACCAGGCACCGCTTATCTGACAACAATTTTTAATTTTTCTGAAGGCTGCAAAGCAACTGTTTGTGGCATTTAAATTTTCCCTAAATATAAGTCTGAG